TTTTGTGCATTTTTATGTTTCAGTGAGTGTGAATTGGGCAGCTTATCAGTTTACTGATATTTTTCTACTTGTGGATTCAGCATGTCAAATTGTTACGAAAACTTGATGCTGGAATATGGGGTGATTGGTGGATTTTTAGTAGTCTTTCAACTCAGGAATCTTACACATTGGAATAGTAGATGTTAAACATTTATTGATTTCTCTCTATCTTTTATTTAATATTTTTTATATATCAATGGCCAATAATAAAAATAAGATTTGAATAATTTAAGAAATATAGTGTTGAAATTTGTACTTTACTAAATGCAATCATTATAAAGTGAAAATAGAGAGTGGTTTTTTGGAGAATCAAACCCACTCTCTATTTTAAAAAGTTAGAATTGAGAGTTTTTTGAAGCTTATTTTCAAGTATTGACTCTCTAACATAAAGAACATCTTATGTTTACAAAGTTTCCTGGAGATGCTCTAAGATATTAAGAGAGATTTGAAATCTTGTAAGGGCTCAATTTGTTTGTGGAATGAGACGGGCTTGTTAACTCTTCCTAATTCACCCCTAATTTGGTTGCTTTTTTTTTTTTTTCAATGGATTTTTCATTTACTTTTAGGGCTTATTATTCATTGAATATCCAGTTATAGAGTTTAGTTGAGTTGTTTTTTAAGGCAGGAAAAATTATTCTCCCCTTAATTATTTTATGACCTCCATTATTACCCTTCTCATTATGTTTCTTTTATTGACTTTGTATAGTTGGTGTGTGTGTGGAGAAAACGAAACGGCAGATACTTTGAAGATCAAATACAAACGACAGAGCAATTTAGGGAATTGTTTTATTTGACTTTGTATAGTTGGTTTAAGGTTATAATCATTAGTCTCTCTCCTCGCTTTTCACCCTCCCAACGTTTTGATCATTTTATTGTTCTAATAAACCGCCACCACCGACAGCCACCTAACACTGCCATTCGGCAACCACTACTCCTTTCCCCTCTTCTCGTAAATTTCCTTCTCTATCTAACCTTTGGCATCACCCTGCATTTACTTAGCCACCGTTCCAACATTAAAGTCTTTAGGCAGTCAATTAAACCACATTAAAAGTACCTAGGTTGGTTGGATCTAGGTTGACCAAACACAGGATCAGTAGATAAAGTAACTAAGATAAGCGTCCCAGATTATACATACCTCATAAGTCTTCTCTTGTCGATAAGTAAACAAGTCCTAAGATGTCATGGAAAGAAAAGTCGCAGTCATCAGATTTCTTGTGTTATCAGAGTAGGGAAGAGTGGTACATGCAAGTGATTTCTTTCTTTTCTTGGTATTGAATGCTGTTTGATTAACTGAAGATCGATGTTATTTAGGGTTTGTTTGAGTCCCATTTTTTGAGAAAATAGATTGTGTAATAGTAATTTTTTTTTTTGGGAGAATATGTAGTTAAAAAGTAGGAAAAGTTTTGAGTTTATGTGTAAAATTATTTTATTAAAAATGTGTAGTTGAAAATGAGTTTAGGAAAAAATGAGTTTTTTAAAAATGGGGCTCGAATGGGTGCTTTGTATTTTCATTTATTTAATTATGAAATTTTATTAGTTAGTGTCCTTTATTTAATTTGGTCAGACAATAAGGACTTGGGGGCAATTTTAGTTATGATTGGCATTTAGGTTTTATAAGTAGCTGCACCATCTTGCTGTTTAGGGCTTCTGATTTTAATTGAATAAAAATATAGCGTTGGAATTTCTCTCAATTCTTGTCAATAATTCAGTGTTTATGATTCACTGAATTTATATGCTAAATCAATTCTCGACATTCGTGCATGAATCAACGAGTCTTGATTGTCAATTCGTGGAATTCTGTGTGAATCAACGGGTAAAATCATAATTATAGATACGGGCCTTTTCCCTTCAACAAGCTTAGATTTATTTCAAAATAATTCCTGATTTGTGTTCTTCGTTTGTTCTCGCTTGCGCTGGCATCAATAATGCCGTGAGATTGAGATTGAGAATTATAATTTTGTGTTTGAATTATTAGATTTGGAAATTTAACTTTGTTTATTTATTTTCTTATTTGTTTTCACTGAGGTTGTATGCATTTGTGTTTGGGTCTCTCTTAATTAATGCCCCTTGCAACTAACCCTGCACCTGACCTACACCTGCCATGGACTTTCATATGGAATTTTTTGTTTTAACTACTTGATTTGGATAATTTACACTTAATGTATTTATTTATTTTTCTTTTTCTTTTTTCTTTTTTTGTTTTGAGAAGGTTGCCTGAATCCATACCCTGGTACCGTCTAAATTAATGATTTTCCCTTGTTAGTTGTTACTAACTATGCAACTTCATCTAAGGCTGAGTTGTTTCACATACAACTTTGTGTTTTAACTATTTGATCTGGATATTTTACACTTTAGTTTTTTTTTCCTCATTAAAACGTTTGTTTGGCATTTTTCACGAGTTTGATCATTTCTCTTAAAAAAGTAGTTTTAAGACTCATTCTGGTGCCTATATATTTGTTTGGTCAAGAGCTGTAGCCTACATCAATAATTTTCTGCAGACTGCATTTGATTTTTGCTCTCTTTATATTTTCTATTCTTTATATATGGAATTCACTAGTAATTTCTTTTCTTTGTAGGTTCCGGAATGAACTACCAGATCCTTCTGCAAAGATGAAGCTTTTGAATTTTAAAAGTGACACAGATCGGTATGAAACCTTACTTCTGTATCCTTTATATTTTATAAGGCAGTCAGTAGAGAGTAGTGTTGTTGCAAATTTAATGCTTACTGTGCGATTTCTATAGCTTTCAATGTCATGCCACCGTGTGTTCACCTCTGCTTTACCAATACTATGCTGCTAGTACTCACTATCGGTTGAGGTCTTCCTTTGTGATAATATAAACAGGACATTGTGTGGTTTTTTGGTGATGGTGCACCGTGTTAGATGAACCAAAAACGAAGTGGTATGATTTTTGAGAGCCATAGAGAGAACTCTATAAAGCAGAATTATTTAACTAACATGATTTTATGCCCTTTTTTGGCAGTACCAGTTTATTTTAGTTCGATGTGTAGTTGATTTTTCAGCTCTGTATCCTAACTTGGATTAATCTCTGGAATATATGTGATTAACTTCTTGTCGAATTGTTGTTTACATAGTATGTAACGGTAGTTTGTTATATTTACATTTGTAGTTTCTTGAGTCTTTTAAATAATATATACATGAATTTGTTATGTTTTACATTTTGACAATAACACTTCTAACAATATGGTACCTACTTAAAAACATTAAAAAAATGTACTCTGCCTTGACTCAAAAATGTCAAACCCCTCCAAATTATGACATAAAAGAAATAGGTTACATGAAGCCTTTTGATGCTCAGCATCGAATCTAATGATTAATGTTTTCTCCTAACTACCATAGGTTTCAGATATATCATCCTGCTAACATCACTAATTTCTGATAGTATGTGCCGAATGTTTCCGTGAACTGCCATTATTTTACCATTATATCATCAATGCTTCTATTCACTAAGTCCCTGTTTGAGCCCCCATTATCTAAAAACTCATTTTTAACCACACGTGCACCTTATAAAAATTTTTGCACGTAAACCCAAATCTTCTCTGCTTTTTACCCATACTTTCCAAAATATCACTACTACAAAACTCATTTTTTTCATAAAAAATGGGGCTCAACCAGAGCCTAAATATGTTTGCTTTTCTGGCTTACCTGTTCAAAGTTAATTGAGGAACCATGCTTTTTCTCAGTAGCAGATACGTGCAGAATACATTTTAATTTTAATTTTTATAAGCAGCTTCTCTTTGTGCTTGAAACATTTTCCTGTATTGCTGAAACGTCTATCCTTCAGCTCATCAAGGCTGCTGTTTACAATTACCTTTTTGTTATTGACCTAACTGGTGTGAAATGAAGGATTGTATATATTGATTATCAAACTGGTCCCTGTGTTTTCTGTTCAACTCTGTTATCTCATAAAAAATTTACCAGAATAGTTGATTTGTGTCCTCTTGTAATCTGAATTCTTAGGTTTGCTCCTCCAGTGGACATATCTGTATGATATTGCCATGATCATTGTGTTTTGTTCTGACTTTTGGTATAGTAGAGTTGTTAATGAATAATAGTTGAATGATAAAGAGAGGCAATTTTGTGCCGACTGTTCCCAAAAAAACACAACAGTTATAAAAAGGGAAAATAGAGAACTGCTGAAGCTCTACTCCCCGTCTTCACTTTTATTTTAGTGATCATAATTTAAACTTGGAGATACATCAAATAGACAATTAAGTCATATTGCCAAAACACTCACAACAACCCGGCCAAAAACATTTCATCACTAAACAGAAAAAACAAGATCGCTCAACCTGTAATCTTTCTTTTAACTATTGTGGTAAGGCTCATAATTTAATCCTGCAGATTCACCAAATACACAATTACATCGTTGGAGAAGAATCACAAGCCTCAGCTATATGTCGAACCAGACCTTGGGATACCACTCGACCTTCTTGATCTGAGTGTATACAAGTAAGTTTCTTCACTCCCTTGTGCTGTTATTCTCACCCTAAAAATTTATAATAGAACTTTCAAGTGAAACATGTGTACTGAATTCTTTTTCTATGCTTATTTGACTAGTCCTCCAAAGGGGGTGAGGTTACCCATGGATCCAGAGGATGAGGAGTTATTGCGTGATGATGATCCAATGACTCCAGTTGAGAAAGTCGGCATAAAAAGGAAAGCAAGGCCTACTGAAGAAGGTGTTTCTTGGCTAGTGAAAACCCAGTACATATCTCCTCTCAGTATGGAGTCAACAAAGCAGGTATTGTTTAGTTCTTTTCTCACAATGAATCATTACGACACTGTCCAATGCTCGGCAACATGATTTTTATGCTATATTCAGTCTCTAACTGAAAAACAAGC